AAAATGAAACAACCTAAAGTTTATCAGCATCCTAACTGGCAAGGAATAAATCATTAACATACCGGGATCAAATACTGGTTTCTTTCTTTCAAGAGCTTCCGCAAATTTAGATTGTCTTTTCTTCTTCCTTGATATTGCTACCATTTCATTCATAATTTTCTTCTTTGTTTTCTTTTTATCTTGTGATGGATCATAATCGGCATCCATCTGAAATGAACAACATAGTTTTGAGCACTGTTCTTATTCACCATGTTGTATTTCTAATAATGGGATCACTTCAAAGACTAACTTCCAACACCTGTGTGTTTTTATGTTTGATGCAACATATAAAATCTTAGTGAATCAATTGGTACATCATAAAGCATCTCTTAGTGACTAACCCTGCATCTGTCACATTCACAAATATTAAAAGAAAAGTAGTTTTGTTTAGTTTATTTAAGGTTGGCAGTCCTTAAGTAGCCAGTATTTTTTTACGAGATGAGCAAAAATACAACTAATTTTAAGTTGAACTAAATAATTTGGGACATAAAAACATTTGGTGAAATCTAGCATCTCATAAAAACTATCTAACATAAAATATTGCCTACTCTAAAAATTCAACAACGTAATTCTTCAGCGGGTTTTCATAATTTATTGGCTGTTTTTGTGATTGTGCAAAGTTCATCAAAGTTCATCTAATTTTTTCATGAAACAATAGACAGACTCTAATTTAGACTTTAATTAATGAAATCAAAACATTTGAGCTGACTACAGTTGGTGTTATGAACATCGGAAGAATATCGACATCTTACAAATTATTACATTTAATATTCAAGGTTGTTTATTATTTAGTCATAGTTTGATACAAAAAATATTATTTGTTGTGAAGTATATGTAAACTTCAAGTTTGTATTATCGTGAACAAATGTTTTAGAACATTCTGACTGCATTCAACATGTTTTTTTGATTCTAAGTTGACCTACTATGGTGTCCTTCAACCAATCAGAATACGCGAGAGCGAGATTGAAACAGGATTTTGGTGTCTAGTCACTGTAGTTGCAAACCCCAAGTAATGTACTTCTGATTTTACCTCAATTATATTAATGGTCTGTTTTAATTTGAGGCTATGAAACATCAAGTGATTGTTTTTTGACAGAAATGTTGCTTCTCTGACAACATCTAATCTTTTTGTAATCACTAATTTTTAAAATTGTATTCTAAACTAATTATTTGAAAGTGATTAAAATTTAAGAGTTAATTAATCTAATGACTCACAACAAAACCAAGATCTTCACAGTGTAAATTATTATCAACGTAGTAATCGTCTCCATCATGGTACTCCCCATCCTCTCCTGTCCAGTCATCCCAATTTTCTGTGAAATATTAAAAAAAAGTTTAATTTTCATATTAGTAGGGTATGAGAAACAGAACCAAACACACATTTCTGCTTACTTGTTTCCCTTCGTTTGCACATGACAAAACACGTATCTTGCCACGATGGGTTTCATCAGAACAAAAGTGGCCTGTTTTGTGAAAACAAATAATATGAAGATGGAAGCCCCTCAAAAAACAAACCTTCAACAGGATCTTCATCATAAAATTCAGGCTTTGTATCGTCTTCCTCCCCTGAATAGTAGTCATCTCCCAGAAGATTCTACAAAGAATTTATTTTGAATATAAGCAATGAAGTACAGCTGCTGACAAGTGATTTTAAAATAGTTGTTTACAGCAGTTGTTTATCAATATGCAATCAAGAACATAATACCATGTATGAGAACTGCAAAGTTGAAGATGAGTAATAACTAGCTTATCAATACTGTCATTTTATCTGCAACACTGTTGAATTTGATATGCTTCATATGAATTACTATGCAAAGAATCAACCAAGGTTGATCTAACAAACAAAAAAGCATCTATGTACAACCATCATGCCATTCTGTTCTTGATTGTACAGCTCTGAGCACTCTGGAGACTTTACATACTGTTTTGAATATAACTGCCTAATTTGCATACTATTTTCAACATAACTCCCTAAACTGCATAATATTTTAAATATAACTCCCTAAACTTCATACAGTTTTGAGTATAACTCCCTAATCTGAAACTATTTTGAATATAACTCCCCGATTTGCATAGTATTTTAATATAACTGCCTGATTTGAATAATATTTAGAATATAGCTCCCTAATTTGCATAATATTTAGAATATAACTCCCTAATTTGCATACTATTTTGAATATAACTCCCTAATTTGCATACTATTTTGAATATAACTCCCTAAACTGCATATTACTTTAAATATAATGCCTTAATTTGCATACTATTTTGAATATAACTCCCTAATTTACATACTATTTTGAATACAACTCCCTAACCTGCATCATTTTATCATGCTCCTGAGGATCAAAATCTCCTTCCAGATCTCCATCATGGAATGCCACATTTTTGTTTCCAGTAACTTCTTTAATTCTGTCAATCTTTTCCAGAATTTCTTTTTTTTTGATGTTCTTCAGCTGTTTCAGCTCTTCCTTTTTCTTTTCTTTTTCCTGCAATTTTTCGCATAAAACATCAATGAAAAATGTTTCTATGGATTATTGTTACATTATATCAAAATTTCATTCCTTATATTGTGAAAACAATTCATTGAAAATGACACAGTTCCCATTCAAATTAATCTTCATGTACCAAACTTGGTCTTGACAATATTCAAGAAATGTATTTACAAACTGGTGAAATACCAAATACCAAAACAGCGCACATACTGAGTATGTCAAATAACATGAAAAAACAAAATAAAATGTTGACAGTGCATTGATCAAGTACTATCAAGTACTATGAATAGAGAGAGAGAAGCAATCAAATATACTGATTATGTTACCTGTAATTTTCTATCTTTCCTTTCTGACCGTTTGGATGCTCTTTTGTTGTCTTTTGTTCTCACTGACTCTCCAACTGTACGAGGATATCTTTTAATCTGGGAATGAAATATATAACATTACTTAATAATAAACTTATATTACATTGAGAAGACATCATGTGCAATGGACAAATATACGGTATGTTCTTAAAAATAAATGGCTTCTCGTCTCTTTTTAAACTTTTTGTCACAAAAAGAACAAATCTGGGAACTACCAGAGTACATTTGTAGTGGGAATATGAAACCCATTCAGCTAACAGTTGTCAAGACAAAGTTGAAAATGTAAAGTTGACAAAGATGGACAGTGATGACAGACTATCAGTAATATGTCAACAGCAGAGCCAAAAATCATACATGTATACAATATATCTTGAATTTACTTGAACTTTGAACAAATTCAGTCATTTAAGATGGCCATCAGTTAAATAAAACCAATTATGTCTTGACATTGCACTAATTTAAAGAGAATATGTCAAAGCGTCTCTTAAATGGCTGCCAGTCAGCCATTTTAAATTAAATCACAAAACAAAATAGTGAGCATCATTAAACCCACCATGTTATGGCAATTACGAGTTAGAATGAAAACTGCCCAGGCATGCCAAGAAACAGTTGATGACATGACATGCCCTAATTTAAATTTTAAGTGTTTTTTGAAACATAGAATGTCATCAATCTAATAAAGAAATCTACAAGCATACATGTATCTCCCATTATGATTTTTAACTGTACCAATTTTTATCTAAATTGGTAAAAGCATGTCCAAGAAATAACAATATATGGACGCACAGACAAAACATGGATTCTGTTTTGAACTACTTCCGATTGAGACTAAAAATGAGTGTTGTGAACTGATCAATTCAATAATAAATTATTACCAAGATAAGAACTTACAAAATCAGAATCTGGTTCTTGAAATCTAAAATTAAATTTTCTTTCAAATTCTTCTTCTTTCTCAAGTTGTCTTTCTTCTTCTGAGTAATCAGTGTCCTCCTCATCTTCACCAACTATCTCACCATAAGTAGGTATCCTAGATATTAAAAGAAATTACTTGGGAAATCGTTACCATTCCAGGAAAACATTTACAAATTGTTTGTATTTGGAACGAAATATACTGTCTGATTTGGACAGTAACTATTTGATATTACATTAGCCATTTGAAATACGTGTAACCTTGTAAAATTGGTTCGTTCTAACCAGTTCAAATCATGCAAGGATCTTGGGAAGTGCATGGCAAACCAGCCAGCAACTTTAGGTGGCAGTAAAGCTATTTTGGTGTTTAGAACAATATATCCAAAACAGTAAAGTGAATTCACTACTGCAACCCACCAGAGTAAAAAAATATACCAGGTCTCCACTGAAGCCTTCATTATAGCCATGTAAATGAAGATACACTGTTAACCTTTCACTGATGTCCAAGTTACCCCCATTGCCAACAGCCATCAGCATACAGTACAATTTAACCATGGTAATAACCATACTTTGTTTTTTTAAATGTTTTTTGTGCCAGGCGACTGTTCTGGACTTTGAATGTGATCTTAACCAAGGTTCTCCCAAAGTCGCATTCGTTAGTGAATGAATCTCAGCCAGTGGCATTGGCCTGCCCATTGAGTCTGTGGCACACTCACCCAGGGTAGGGGTCGACCCTATGAATTTTTAGCCTAAGGTAGGATTTGAACTTGGGTTTACCGATCATGAGTCTGACATGACAACCAATATGCTGCCAGTGACCCGTAATAACCATACTTGGTCTAACAATACTTACCTCTCTGCATCCTTATCTTTATACCCTTTATTGAGAATATAATCCCTCAAGAATTTTTCACCTTCATCTAATTTTGGATCGGTCCAAAACTCTTTAAGCGCTACCTGATAAAACAAAACAAAATACACATTGTACCTTATAAATACATAAATGGCTTTTATGGAAATTTATAAACATTGTTAAAACATTTATTCCAGAAGATGTTCAAGTTTCATTCAAATCCAAATAAGATGTTTGCATTGACTCGTCATTGGTCAATTTACTGCCATGCAACCGTTACTGTGCTATGATTGGACAGGTGAATTTCAGTTGACATTTGCAATTTATAACAAACATTTTCTATAAAAAATATTCACGCTTTCATGAAACGAAGTGTACCAACAAATAGTACAATTAGAGAATAAGAAACATTTTTGGTTTTGGGTAATTTGATTTTACAAAATAAAAATGCTTTTAAAAACAATAACCTCAAATAAATTTTAAAAAGCTGTGGTCGTCGGGCAATGTTATTGGCATTTTACAGGTGTTGTATATGTTGTGTGAGACCCATATAGAACCACTGACATTCACAATGAAAAACTGCAGTACATGTACCCAAGTGTACACCAGCGACCTCAAACAAGCTAACATTTTTACCATAGAGGGCATACTTTACTCTCAAGTTAAAATGCCAATAAAAAAGGTTACAAATTACTTATTTTTGTTTGATTTTAGAAAGTGTTTCAGGGTTATCATTTTTTATGGGACATTATATTATCTTGGTACTAGAATCCATCAAAACGTTGATCATTCAACTGACCATTTGTGACAAGTCTTTGTTTTGACCGACATCTTCTTTCTGACCCTTCAACCATTGAATGTAATCTTTTTCGTCTTGCACCTAAAAAATAAAATTAAAAATTTATTTAATCATAATGAATGAAACAACCTTAGATGAATGAATTGTAGATAAGAAAAATAAACAAAAATTATTTTCACAGCTTTGTTGATTGAAGAACAGTCAAAGAGACAAAGATTCGCGAAAAAACACATCATGTAGTTTATGTTTTAATACCCTGTGATATGAGCACTGGGACATTATGTCTTCTTCTTTGGCTTAAAAAATTCATGAAATTTTTGTCTCACAAAATTAAAGCGGTTTACAGTAAATATTTTATGCAAAATCTTGCAATCATTTGTCATTATCAAATAAATTAATCGTACTACTGTAAAATACTTTATTTTCGCTTGCAACTAATTTTTGCTGAAGGAATGATTCAGTGAAAATAAAATCCAGCGAATATATCTTTTTTCCTACATTTTATATTCAACCTGTCAAAATCAGTACAAATAAACAATTTCATACAAAACACCCAAAAAAAATTTCAGCAAAAATTAATACAATTAATAAAGTGTTTTTCAGTATTAAAATTAAAAATATTTCTGTCGAAAATATAATCAGAACTTTTAAAACTTTTGTGAAGTTTGTCAATATAAAAATACAATAACGAAGGCAGCTCAAATTACGCATGTCAGAAAATGTGGATGTCTTAAGTAGAAATATGCAATTTTGAAAATAGTGTTGCATTCAGTCAAACTGCATTCAGCAAATCAAATGTTTTTGCATGTGCTAATTTTGTTTAAGGTTACGCTATCCTCAAAAGGGACTATAAAAACATGCTGCCACAAAATGGAGAGGTGGTAATAAATATGAAAAGAGATACAGTAGTGACAGCTTGTGACTAACAGTGGACACGCAACATACATACTATTCTGCCCTTGGCTGTAATTAATATCATACAATGTACAAACTGCTGGCATACTGTTGGTATAAATCCAGCCTTTATTTTTTAGACATTTAACAAACTAACGGAATCCCCAATTATTTGCTCAGGGTGTTTCATACAGGGCACTGTGTTTAATCTTAAAAATAAAGATGTTGATAAGCATGTAAAATTGTGTTTCATTAATTGAAAATCATGATTGATACAGTAGTTTTCATTCTGGAGTGCATGGTGGTCCGCAAAGAGCTGTTTGGTTTGTGCTTTTATGTTGTTACTCACGATTAACGTAATGTTGTAATACTGAAGTGAACTTCATCTCTTTGAGTGATTGGAAGCAGGAAGCTTCCGAAATGCCAAAAAAAAACATAATATTCCTTCTAATCTGGTGAGTTGAACGAATGTTGAGGCCCCTGGGCATATTGACAGGGGAAGTATGGAAACTTACAAGTTCTTCTTTACTCTTCACTCTTTTAGTTAAAATTTCATCTTCTTCGCTTTCACTATTATCCAATGTTCCTTTAAAACTTAAAAGAAATAGGTTTATATTTAAATGTGCTATTGATGAATGGAAACAATCAGTTTGGTCGAGTACATCATCAATTAGCTCAGGCAGTTTTATTCACTCACCTGTGCAATGAACAAGCATCCTTAAATTTTTAATTTCAACCATTAGTGTTAATCAACCAATTACCAGAGCGGTATTTTTCAGAAATACTACATTCAAACCTTGCAATTCCATCTGTCCATTGCGACAACACTCACCTATCTTTCAAGATCTGTTGTTCCTCCATATACGATGGTGATGCACATCTTGCATTCATCTCCTCATCTTCTTCGTCTTCACTATCATCCTCATCTTCAAATTTTCCTCCTTTCTCAAGCATCACCTTTCTTTCGTAGTCTCGAAGAAGAAAAGGTTTATCTGTGGACTTTGTTTTCTTCTTGACTTTTTGTTTATCATCATCAGCTGATAAATTATTTCCATCTTGTAGATAAAAAAAATATTATCACTGCTTTGTTATTTTATTTTATTGTTAACCCGAGCTTTTCATTTTGTAGACAAGAAACTTTTTTTTCACAACACTACCCATTTTAACTTGCAGTTTAAATTTTTGTTCTACACGAAAAATGTAATTTGTATGACAGAGCAGGGTCACATACATGTAGGCCCCCATAAATATGATCTTTATTTAGCCTCTATTTTATAAAAATAAATATGGCAGGCTTGCTTGAACATCAATCTAGAATAAGCCTTATACAATGCATTTCATTGGTGTACATGTAATTTCAGTAAAAACTAACCAGTTTTAAAATGCTTGACTGGCACATTCAGAAGCAATACACAGAAGAGTGAACATTTCTGATATTGCCAGTGATAATGTGGTAAAAATACGGTTTCATTGTGCAGACCCTTCAATCGTTGTGATGCAACACTTTAAAATAAATGTATTTGACCCTAATATCAGACATACATGTACCACTCATAATTTAATTAAAATTCAGGGTCCTTGACTACATGGATAGTTTAATTGTAGCACAAAACCTTCAAAGTTCAGTTTTAATCGCAATTGCCTTTTGCTAAATATGTGACAATAATAAGTGTTACAGTTGCTTATTACCGTAGTTGTCACGACAATGACTTGACCTCTATAATGAAACACTAGTAGTTATGTCATTCTTAGCCAATCAGTAAAGCAGATGCTTAAAGGTCAAAAATGATAGAGCAGAGTCGTTTGCATGAGACCCCATGCCAAGCTGACAGACAGCACTTTTAATCTAAGTCCCAATTGTGTGCACGACATCGACGAACTTCAGGATGAAGTTGTAGGGATTTTGTTCGACGGCTACAGTGACGCTGACTAGGACTTTGAGGGTTTTGACTTTGACGAAGACGGCAATGAACATGCAAATGGAGATCAGAGAAGTCTTTTTCAAACAACTATGAACTATCGTAATTTTTACTGTGTAAATTCATAAATTATTACTATTGATCAAGTATTTGTTAAAACCGGAAATACTTTTACGCAGTTTAACCATTGAACATTTTAGTTTATATTGAGTTCACGTGTATTGGGCTTGTTTGAATTTTTCGTTTTTTCGCCTACCACTATTTTTTGGCAATTTTTCATGTTCAGTTCCCTGGGTGCTTACCCGGACAACTATGGTATATCCATCTTTTTCATACAATAAAGCATGCCAAGGTGAAAAAAAACTTACCTTCACCACTGTGATAAAACTTGACATCTTTTTCATAAATTTTGGGATCTTTGAATTTGACGGCAGATAAAGCACGAAAAAAATCTTTCTCAACTTGCGGAGTTAAAGCCTGCATTAAACAAGACAAGTCATATATATCACAGTCTTGTACAATTGAAAGATTCACGCCATTTCAATTTATTTTATTTAGCTCATATACTAAATGTAACTTACAATGGTGATTCAAGGTCAAAATAAGTCGTATTTTAACGATTCAGTATATGTACTAAATTCAATTTGGGATTTATATACATTTCTATTGGAGATGTCCTTCTAATAGAACCAATATGGTAGTCAGATATAACAAACAAATTTGCATCCAATCACAATGTTTCTGAACATTGCATTATGGGAGAAAAACAATTCATAATTGGAAACATATATATAATTGCTAATTGCTTAAATTAAATTTTTGTGAATATTTGCAACTATGTAAGGATTCACATGTATTATAGTACAAGGCTATTTCATCATTTTTTTATAATGAAATACTTTAACCATAGACAATAATCACCATGACGACATCACACAATAAACAGACAAATTTAATTTATGGTCCATCAGAAGGTTGCATGCAGCGTTACTTACAGCCCAATAACTATGGATTATCATGAACACACTCCATATTGGCAAGCACATGGATTGACATTTTCGGAAATAATTGAGAAATGAGTGAATTCACATGAAACAGAGAAACAGAAAATATTCATGCATTATCTTGCATATGAATACATGTAGAGATATATTATAGAGAATACTGTGACTGTACAACATTAGATTTATTGGAACACGTGTATTAATTTTCATTTGATCTGAGCAGATTTGAATCTGCCTGAATGGACCAACCAAAGTTTTTTTAGTACAGAGATATACATTTGTAGAAAAATTATAACACTGCTTAAAGCAGTGTCTGCTTTATTATGCTAAACTGCCTTAATATATGGGATAAATATTTGTACTCAGTATTATATTAGTGATACTTCTATCTTGTTCATGTTTTTACTCACCACGGCATCCTCGTCTTCAAACTCTGACGAGCTTGAGGATTCCTCATCGGATAGATTCACATCTCCATAGCGCGCTTTCACTGTTAATAAAGATGATGAGAACGGGTAAGTAGAATCATAATTTATTTCCGTCAAGAATTTTGACATGTGAATATATTTATTAATAATTATTAGTTTAGTTAGTTTAGTGGTGTACTAGTAGTTTAGCAACGAGACATATGACAGGGATGAAAAATCTGGTCTAATATCGTCTGTAGCTCTCAACAACGATGATTATAGGCTGACAATGTTGTACTCGTTAATAACAATGCCTAATACGCTGACCCAAAATAGCTACAAGAGAAAATTTTGTCATAGCTCTCGATCAGGACAATCCCCAAAACGAAGAGGAAGGTCGTCGATGATTTAAATAATACCTCTGTAGAAAACGCCAGTAAAGCTGTGCATACAGGTTGTGGGACAGATGTATGTGTTCAAACAATGCACTAGCCATGGGCCTGATGCTACTTCCAACACGATGTAATCGGTAATGAGACATAATACACTATGTTGAAAGAAGAGCGCCCTCACATGTGATTCCTCCTCTGGGTCAGGGTTTACATTGACTGGCGCATTGCCAATTTGGACTACCATTTGTCATCTAGATGTATTACTGGATCATTAAAATATGACTTATTTTGATTATTGACACACCTATATATTTCTTATTTTTAATATTCCATTTATTTTACCATATTAAATGAATGAATCTACACCAGTGGATTGGTTCAGCCGCATACTCCCCCTGCAAGGATTTAAATTCCGATTCTAACCGATTATGGGTTTGAAACAACCACTTGGTAGTTACTCTTGGTGCAACAAAGGCATTCCCTTCATCTTTATAAATATTTATAAATTCCACATTTTTTTTTCCAGCTCCATGTGGAGTGAAACCTTCAAAAACGCATGACCATGACAAGGAATCCTAATATGTCGACAAATCGTAAACAGCATTAAACCAAATGTGTTAGTAGTAATAATGTAATCCCCACACAAACTCACACTTCTGTAGTTCTTCTTTTCGCCGCCACTGGTTGTATTTTTTAGCGTAACTCGTGTTGATCGTCAACTCTTCTTCCATGTTGCTGGCGTTGAATGATAGGGACCCTTATCGCCATGCGAATAGTTCCATATGGCTGCTTTGAAGTATTTCGAGTCAAAATAAAACAATATATTTGTCAACTAAAACCATATGTAATTGATACTAGTACTTTTTTATATTCTGGTACATATTTTGATGAGTTTACAATGAACGAAGTTTTTTAGCAAAATGGAATCACTTCTACCTATTAATGGTCACCATAGAGGGTCTCAACATGGCGGCCCCCATCATGTAAGTTTGTGTTTTCGTCGTTCAGGTATATTTTTCAGAAGTATCTCGTTTGAGGCCTTGAAAGTAAATCGTAAAAGCAGTAGTGTAATATATGTAAATTTCCCACATCGGTAGCGGCTTCATGATTGTCTGAACCGTTCCAACACATTTTGATCACGTCAATGCATCTGGGGGGCTGTGCGTCCAAGGGTCACATGAATCACGTGTCTTTTTTTTGCTAAGAATCAGACACGACCTATGTACGATAACAATAGATCATCAGTCGCATACATAAGAATGATAAAATGGTTGGTTACACAGAACCACTGTCTTGCTAACAAGGAACAGCCTCTCGGTCTGGGAAAGCCTCGGTCACTTTTCTATAGCATGTCATACGGCACAATATTAAGTTATGCGAAACACTGCCCTCGCACTTGCCATTGATTGTTATTTTGTTTTTTACAGACAGGAACAACTTTCTGAATACTGAATTCTTATCATCATCTTGCTATAGTTACAAAGTGTAAAGATGAGGATTCCCCATGGTTGCTTCCTCATCCTATGCTTGGCTGTACAGTCTCTCGCATTTTACATCTTTTTCAAAGGATTTTTCCCAGTCAAAAGTGCCATTCCGGGGAAAGCAACGTTCAATAACCTTCCAGCAGAACCGCTGCCACATTCAATGAAAATGAAAAATGAACCCCCTAAGGCAGTGTTTGGTCGTCTGGTTATCGTACTTGTGGATGCGCTGCGGGCTGACTTTGTGTTTGGTAACAAGGCAGATCAGCATATGCCTTTTACTAGTCAGTTAATCAAAGATGACAAAACTCTTAGTTTTATAGCAAAGGCACACCCACCAACTGTTACTATGCCAAGGATAAAGGTATATATGATTTTGTATATTTAAAAAACAGTCTTTTCGTTTAAATGTGAACTATAGCTCTTGTAGACAACTATGTAAAAACTTGGTAAGGAGAGCTTTATTCCACACAGTCAAGTATTCAAAATTTTTAAAGATGACAACTTTTAAAAATCAAATAGTAAACAGCATTATCACTTGATGAAAGTTCCAAAAATGAGTGTAATTCGAATGCACAGTTTAAAATACAAGTATACCATCCCTTGTGAAAAGCTATTTTCAGAGTTACGTTTTGGAAACCTCATGAAATGATGATATTTGGAAGGTTCAGGGAGACAGTATATGATCTATTCAAAATGGTGTTCTCCATATAGTATATGATCTATTCAAAATGGTGTTGTCCTCTGGTCTATACAATATTTGACATATTTGTGAATTTTCTGCAGCTTTACACCTTTCACTTCACTTCAAAGTGATGTCACATTTACAGTGAAAGGTGCCAAGCTGAGGCTTTGCTTATATACATATTTATAAAAATTTGTAAATGCCAGTCATCAGCTTTCATTGAAATTTTTTATAGTGATTGACTCAATATCTGAATATTTTCTACACCCATAAAGTGTGTGCATGCCATCGTGTTACATAGCTACTACAACTGCTCATATATTCAAAATGAGGCACTTGCTGATTAGATAATATTGACCTTATTAATATCAATTAGAACTAACAATGATGTCACAATAAATTCCAGGATTGGTCAATTTGTAAAATATTCTATCTTTCGTTTTGATAATAAAAACGTGAATTTATAAAACGAACACGGCTTTATGCCCTTCACTGTACAGTTATGACTTAATTTATGCAGGCAATCACAACTGGAGGAATACCTGGCTTTATTGACATTGTATTGAATGTGGATTCCAGTGCATTGTTGGAAGACAATCTTATATCACAGTTATATAGTGCAAATAAATCTATAGTATTCTATGGGGATGACACATGGATTAAACTATTTCCCAATCATTTTAGACGAACTGATGGAACCACGTCGTTCTTTGTTGCAGATTACACTGAGGTATGAAAATTATATTTTGTCACTGTTTTTCCCATCTGTGACACTCGTAAACTTGTTTTGCTCATCTTATTATAGTTTTATTGTCGGCAAAACCTAGTTATAAGTCATTTAAATTTTGAGTAAATTGGCATTGGTTAATTATATTGATTGAAACCCGACGCACTACAGTCAATCATGCATTGATGTTTGAACTTTTCTTTGGAACCTTGCAAACCACAACTTACCTATTTAATATTCAATGCTTGGCATTTGTTAGTATGCAGTGGGAATATACATGTATAAATAGTTTTCCTATAAATTAAATTGGAAGGAGCCTAATGGCGATACAGGAAAGAGCTCACGTGTTGTCTAGGACTAATCTAAATAAGAATAGTTGCGTTCACGCACAGCTCCTTAGCACGGGCTAAGAGGTCAAATTCCTTAGCCCTTGCTAAGCAAACGTGCGTGAACGCTTAGCACGGGCTAAGGAATGCTAAGTACGGGTTAAATCTGATCCGAATTTAAGACGCGGTCTAGACCCTTAGCACGGGCTAACGAAGTGTGCGCGAACGCTTAGCCCAGGGCTAAGCGCCCTCTGCAGCGACCTTTAGATGTGAACGTGATCAAATATATCCAACTTTCTCATTCCCAAAATGACAACCGAGCTCAG